TATAAGTGCTCGTATGCTTCTTGCCTGAATTTTATAAAAATTTTATCTTAAATTTTGCAAATAAATATTAAATCTAATAGTAGTGAAATTAGATATAAAATATTTTAAAAACATGCACAATGAATAACACACAAATATTATTCATAATAAATAAATAACAACATGTTTGTAGTATATATTTTGTTTCATTTATACATCATACAAATTAAACCTAATAATAGTGAAATTAGACATAAAATATATTAAAATGAATCACAAAAATATTCTTCATAATAAATACATAAATAAATAACATCATATTTGTAATATTTTTTTTTTTGTTCATTTTCTACAACAAGTTTTTTTTTCCCGAAACGATAGATGCACTATAATAAATCAAAAGCGCACAAATGTGCGAATAAAAGTACAAAGCTCCCAACGGGAGAATAAAATGGGAGAACGGGTCAGACGCCTGCCTAGATTCCCGCTAGCAACGCTAGAATAAAAGCTCGAAACTAAACAGACCAACTACACAACCAACTAAAACAACTAAACAACTAAACAAACTAAAAGACCCCAGCAGGGTAATATCCAAGTGTCGGCTCCAACAGGAGAATAAATTTGACACTCGGACTCACAGGAGCCAACGGCTCAAACATAAAACACAATCCTACACAAACACTAATACAGAAACAAAAGCAAAAACGAAAACAGGGACATCCTCCCCCACCAGATAGGACTAGGTGAATACAGCAGACAAACGAACTCCACAGATTGCGCCAAAGCACGAAAATGACCGCCCACCACTGCAGAAGGCCTAGCAAGATGGCTACTCGCACCCTGGGACCAAACCACAGAGTTGTCCCGCACCCCAATCACGAGAAGAGGCAATACGGCTCAACCCAGCCCAAGGCAGCTGCAACACGACCAAGCGGACAACGAGATCCCAGCCCAACCACGACCACCCACCCAACTCTCCCAGAAGAAACCGAGGGTTCCTTCCAGTCATGGACACAATAGAATACCGAGACAAAGCAGCAAAGTCGGGGGCTTACCTTCAAGAAACCGGAAGCGACCACCGCGAATCGCCGTAGCGCCGGCAAAACGGCACAGTCCCGACCGGAGAGAGAATCAGCTACCCAAAGGCCGAGCAGAAAATCAATTGCATCTATCCCAGCCTCGCCCATGAACCAGCACCATCCTCCATCCATCGCCAATCGAACCTTTGCTTCGATGAACAACAAGGAGAGAGAGCCCGCTCCGTTGCCCAAAACCCGAAACACAAAGCGGATCAACAATGGATAAGAGAGAATTACCGCCATGGACGAGCGACCGGAGGCCGTCTACCGACAGACCCAGACGACCGGCAAGGGAGATATGACAGGAGCAATTTGAGGAAGACGATCGGCGAGGGTTTTTTAGGGGAAATATGCAATTTGAGGAAGATGATTGGTTCTACAACAAGTTGAAAAATCCAAATATATGATCATGATTAAATTAATCCAATAAACAAATAGTATTATACTTATATGTACAATATATGTAATAAATATCAGATTACATACTATAAAGAGTATTTCGTAAATACTAACAAGTTGAAAAATCCAAAACATATGATCATGATTAAATAAATCTAATAAACAAATAGTATTATACATATATGTAATATCGCGATAACATAAAAATATGATTCAAGTGTTAAATGGTAGGTATTTAATTATTTTAGACGTATAAATTTATGTATATTCATAAAATATATTTTTTTTAATACGTAAATCAGTCAAACATATTTAATAACACTGAACAAAGTCCATAATAATATACATTTTTATTTTTTATAAAAAATATTAACAAAGTCCAAAATAATATACGACTTTCAGTTTTTATAAAAAATATGTAACACATCTAACATAGAAGTTAACTAAAAATCACTGTTCTAAAAGTCAGTCTAGGTGGCGCCTAGGCGCTAGGCGGTGCCCGGGCGCCTCCGATTTGCACAAATCGGCCAAAA